CATAGCACGTGCCTATATCGAACATTTTTTATATTGTTATCGATGAAGGTGTACCGTCGATAAATATCGATACCGTTTTATCGCCCAGGCCTACAGAAAAGTAATAAATACAGTAATATTCCCTCCGCTTCGGAAACTGTGGGCTTCCACACAAATACGTGCACACATCAACATAGCGACTTTTGTCGCTGCATGTCGCCAGGGGCTGGCGATGAGGTTGCTAGCTTGAGAAGAGTTTCTTTAGCCCCGTTCACACTACAAGCGACACACAACAGCAAAGCGACACAATCCCATTAATTTCAATGGAGAGCTGGTTTTTTGGAGATTTCCGGCGGCACGCGCGACAGCGGCCGTTGGCGACCGGATGGGGCGTGTCCAGCGACGCGACAAAGTTCAGAATCCTTCAACTTTATGCAAATGAAGAGCGACTTTCAGGAGCAACAGCCAATAGGAAAGAAGACAGTAGAGCTCATGTGATAGTTCTCCTCTCAGCGCTGTAGATAAACATACGCAAAGGAAGAAAGTAGGCTCTGTTTCTCGTTCATTTTTGTTTGTATGTACTGATTTAATTTAGATTTAGATTATATTTAGTCTTTTGCCTCCAAAATGTTTGTACTTAGCGGCAAGAAACCTGATTCGCTGTCAAGGCAACCAGTATTGAGAACGCCCACTAGCAACCTCATCGCCAGCCCCTGGCGACATGCAGCGACAAAAGTCGCTGCTAGTGTGAACAGGGCTGACGGGAAGGGGCATGGCCTCAAAATTAAATGTGAACAACACAACATAACGCCAGCAGGGGTCAGTCATAATTCATTACATAAATAATAAACAGTTCATTTTGCTGAAATACATAATACATGGTTGGTTGCGCAGTGATACACAGAACCCTAAGGTGAAACAAACATAGCCGTGCTTTATCGTGAATAAAACACAGCTGTTGACCAAACAGAATCAAGGACTGGAACTAACCGTTTTATAAATGGGAATACAGAGGTTGTCGGGGATATTACACGTCGTCACACTGAACAGGTAAACTCATGTACTCACTATAGTTCACTTTTCACACCCTTGTTGTGTTTATAATCACGCTCTTACAAAATATTTTAACTCAAACTTTTAGGGAAAATGTTTTTTAAATGAAGACTGAAGCGTTGACATTGAAGTCATACAGCCATCTACATGTTTCTGCTTAGTACTGCATTTAAGTACAAGCGAACTGAGCAGGCACAAAATAAAGAGTTGAGGTTAGATGAACCAGATATATTTGTTTGGTTATGTCACGTGACATGTCTGCCAAATGACATTTGCAAACACTGCCCCAGCATTTTTGCATTACACTCAGAGTACTTAAAGGGGTCATGAACTGAGAAATAAAAATTTGCTTGATCTTTACACATACAGTATATGAGGTCATTGTACTATAAAAACATTCTGTGAGTTTCAGAACTCAAAACCTTCTTGTTAGTCTAAAAATGTACATTGAAGCCAATCTGCTGAAACAACAGGTTGTGGAATGTGCCACTTTATGATGTAACAATGTGGCTAAACCCCGCCTCCACAGAAGAAGATCAACGCTTGCTTCGACATCGCTGCAGCATCCATATATGAAAGATGTCAACTGTCAAACATACACAACTGTTAGCCAATCATTTACTTCAGCGTTTACTTCTGAGTCTACAATCCACCACACCTATTCAGACAAAGCGTTCCGATGAGGAGGTTCAAAACAGGACAACAATAGAGCATTACTTCTAAATTATGATGATTTTTGATGTAAAAATCTTGATAACATTATAAGTGGACCTCAGAGAACAGTACAAAATAATAAAAAAGGCAGTTCATGACCCCTTTAAATACATGCATATTGAATGCTATACAACGATGTGCACAAGTTGTGTGTGCTTCCAGAGATTAAATAAAGATACTGGCTCTCTTAGCTCATGGGGGAAGTCCAGACTGCCCAGAGTCAAGCTCAGGGCTGAGGCTAAACATAGGAAACTGACACAATGCCCAGGAATGAGTATGATGTCTGAAACAAGCCACTGAGTCAGTCTGTGAAGGACGGTGGAGAGACTCCTTCTCAAAATGGACAATTACAGCTGCTTCTGAGATAATCTAATTTAATCAGTTGGAAATTACATGGAAAATATAAATGCTACTACATGGCCTGCGTGCTGATAAACTATATTATATTTTTAACCTTCAACAAATAAATGTGTATTTGAACAAAACATTGTCATGTGAGAATACCAATATTGTGTTCTATGTATAAATAACCCAATGACCTACACGTTAAACAAGCACTCTCTGAGTATACAAACTTCTACCATTTCACACAAATGTTTGCTTAATAAGACATATTTGGAAATAGTTTGAAGCATTTTGATGGCTCGTTTGTCAATGGAAAAACCCCAGAGAGTTTAGTTTAATGCCGTATCTATCTGTCAAAATAAATCTGGGCAATCTCTACATCTTCCAGTCCCACATTTTTTTTTTTTTTTAAATGACAAAGTTGTGTTGATATGGTTTACAAACATCAGAATTTCCATAAGCTGGGAACAAATCCAGTCCACAACAAGTGTGCCCCTTTGAGACTGTTCCCATGATGTATTGTGACTTTCTGGTACAGAGCAAATGATTGTTTCCTTTCCAAATATGGTCTGAGCGCACACAGACATCAGAGACGTCCAAAGGGTAGACATGGCTGGACAAATCTCTTCCTTATCAAAGATGCTATATAGAGCAGTATTCAACTCACTGACAGCAAGCAATGCGAGAATTTTCTTTCAGATATCGGACACCACAAACAAAGCACAGACAACTGCAGCACAAGCAGCACTGTTGTGTCAAAATAAAAAAAGCAAACAAATCTTGCATGTTCACCAAAATATGGAAAAGATGAAGACATTGATATTCTCGCTTCCTGTAATACTAAAGAGGTATAGCTCTCAGATATCTAAAACAGATTGTGCTTATCCTGGATTCTACATCCATAATTATTTTTGCCGAATAGAAGCACTTGTTTTGTCAGGAACTAGGCTAGTTCTTTGAGTCCAAGTATGCTATTTAATGAAATTACATAGAAATAAAAACGTCCTTATTTTTTCATGTGACATTTTTACAAAAGCAATAATTTGCTAAAGGCTACTGCATTGTAAATAGTCTACATTCAAAATAAGAGGAAAGCTTTTTGACAATCTTATAAGGACAAGACTTTGACATGCTCTCTTATTGTAAATATTAAAGAGGTTATCATCAAAAATATCTCTCAGATATCTAATTGTTCTTGTCCTGAATTGTTAGTAGCATCCATTTTTATTTTTTGCTGCATAGCAACACTTGTATTGTTAGGGAATATATCTTTGATTGCTGATATTTAATAAAACATTTTTAATGTGTTTTTCGTTATTTTTTCATGCTGTATTTTTTGGTGAGCGTGATTTCACCAAGTACAACATGTTCCTGGATCAACATCCTTGTTGATCCTGGAACAACATTCCAATCAACCAATCAGAATTGAGGGATAACTTTTCAGGAAATATCTGTTTTAGGTTTATGATCAGGGGTAGGTGATTCTACACCCTTGTTAATCAGCTATCATTTCACACTGATTTTAGAAATAAATTATGGGTAGGGTTAGGTTTAGGGGTAGGGATTGGGTTAAGTCTATATTTTTGGACAGTAATGTTGATCCAGGATCAACAACAGATGTTGATCCAGGAACATGTCTGTCTTGGCAAAATCATAGCGACCGTATTTTTTTATATATAAAAGCAATAATCTGCTGTAGCCTACTGTAGCCCTACATAATATGAGGAATGTATAAATAAAGAGAAGTTAAAGACTTTTGACATTCTGTAAATATTAAAGAGATTATCATCAAATATATCTCTCAGATATCTAAAATATATTCCTCTTGTCCCGGATTCTGCATCCTTATTTTTCTTTCTGTCTATCGCTGGAGCGGGTCTCTCTCTCGTTAGTGAACTTGTGCGAGAAATGTAAAACCAGGAGTGGATCTCGAGCAGAGTGATTACAGAACGTACTGAGCGGGGAGGGGAAATCTCTGTCGCTCCATTCCACTCATATGTGGCTCCTGACCGGGTTAACTCCGTTCAGTACGATACAATACTTGGTCACTCACAAAGCTCCATGCTGTTGCTCTTAATGGAACTATTTTCGTTGGTGTTGAAGAAATATCCAAACTAACAGTTGTCTGAAACATACGTTTTTTATATTAATTACTTTTTCATATAACTGTTGAATAAAAGCAATATCACACTCGCTATCTGAATATGAGCAGAGCTGTAATCGCCGAATTAGGCTACAGTGCTGATAAAGACTCCAACGGTACTTTTGCTCGTGTGATATTGCTTAAATGGTGTTTTTATTGATGATGACATAAAGGGGTCATATGATGCGATTTCAAGTTTTCCTTTCTCTTTAGAGTGTTACAAGCTGATTGCGCATAGATAAGATCCCTGAAGTTGCAAAGACTATTAAAGCATGTCAACATATTCTGTTACACCAAATACACAAAATAATGATCTTTAAAAAACCATCATGACCCCTTTAAAATGACTCACGTAGCCCACGGTTATCTGTCATAGACATATTGGCCCACAGCTTACTTACTTATTTCTCAGAGCCTGACACAAACTTATGTCTGCTGAGGCTGCTGCTTCATTGCATGAACACCCAGTGATGTTCACTTCTTTTCGCCTATTTTCTTTTTCTTTGAACTTAGGGCACGGCATGTTATAGAATGAATGACTGAAGCTCATTATATGATTATGTCACTCACATCCGTGTCACGTTTGTTGCTATGCACTACGTTGCACTCAAGAGCAGGAAGGTTGAAGAAAAGGAATAGCGCAAACCAAATGAGCCGAACCTTGAGCCAAATAAGTTCAGAAAGGTCAATAAGAACAGACAGTGATTTCCAGAGTCTGAAGTGTAAAACTAATCCAAAACAAAAGGAAAAGCATCGCTTTACTTACCAAGTATGCGCCCACTGTGCCCTGTGCCAACATCAGAGCACATTCCGCCACTAAAAATATCTTAATATTTGAGAAACATGAGGGCTTTTTCTTCATATCATCCCGCTGTGGGTCCTCGGAGCTCTGCTTTTTCACTTGCATCCTGAGCAATCCAACAGCCTAGAAACGCAGCGATAAACTATTGTAAACGGACAATAAACGCTAAATCAAGCGTGTCTTTATTTCTCTGTAGCACTGACTACTGTTGACAGTCAGACTCTGCGCCGTGTGACAGGTTGTAGACTTTTCATTAAAACTCCGCCGATGAATGAAGCCGAAATAAACTCTCCTCCTGTGCACTCTATCGCGGAAATGGAGGATAAAACGTCGCTGGTTTTTACTCCAAACATCTTTCTTTCCCTCTGAGACTGTCCGAGCTCCCGTCGTGTTAGTGTTTGCTCGTATACCGTCACCATCGCTCTAGTCCGCAGGCTTGATTCTCCGCCTCGGTCATGACTGATATATGTGAGCGTTTCTACCGGACAGCTGTCTTGTACAGTAGCGACACAGTAGAGGCGCTGTGCGGCAGGCATCGTAAACTGAATGCTTACTGATTACTGTATGTATTCAAAATACTGGCACATGAATGGCAGATAAATAGCGTGTTTAAAATAATTTCTCAGTTTTCTGGGTGTAACGTTATTCGGTTCGTTTCACGCAAAACAACACTGGCTTTTGACGCCCATATAGCACGTACAATTGCGTTTGAAACAAAACACTAGCGATTTTTGTAAAATGTTCCGTATGCGACGGCGGTACAGTTAGTTTGACGTTTGACATTCATTAGACATTCGGGTTTTGTGCCAATTAAATTCTTTGCAGCTTTTATGTTTTGAGCCCAAACTAATTCAGATAGACATACATATATGTCCTTTATGTTGCACAAGGCTTAATTTCTAGGAATAAAAAAAACATTAACCATTTAAATTAATTAAACAATTTAACTACGAGACATTATAATATAAAACCAATACTAAAATGTTCGGAAAAACATACCTGTTATCGCACAAAGCTCCGTTTTTGGAATTACAATATTATGTTTTTTTTATAATAATTTTACAAGTTTTAATGTATGCAATAATATAAATCCATTAAACTCTGACACAATTTGAGATAAAGGTATCAAACCAACTGTAAAATATTCAGATTATTATTCCCTATAATGCACAAGGCTTGGTTTTTCAGTTTATGCCTTTACTGTTTTTATATACAGCACTGAAACCATATTTTTCATTTGTTTTATATACTGTATCCACTTAAATTAATTAAACTCTGACACAGTTTGAGATAAAGGTATCAAACCAACTGTAAAATATTCAGAATATTATTCACTATATGTCTATCTGAGTTAGTTTGGGCTCAAAACATAAAAGCTGCAAAGAATTTAATTGGCAAAAAACCCGAATGTCTAATGAATGTCAAATGTCAAACTAACTTTACCGCCGTTTTGATGCGTAAATACATAAAAAAATTGCATGGCCATTTAAGTGTATTATCGGTCAAAGGTTTTTAATATTTTTTAAAAGAAATCTCTTATGCTCTTAGGCTGTATATTGATCAAAATGCATACAGTAGAAACAGTAATAGAGTGACATATTATTACAGTTTAAAAGTTTACAAGTTTTCTATTTGAAATATATTTTAAAATGTAATTTATTCTTATGAAGGCAAAGCTGAATTTTCAGCAACTATTCAGTGATCTTAACATAATCCTTCAAAACTAATACCTGCTGACGTGGTGCTCAAGAAATATTTCTTATTATTATCAATTATGCTTAATATTTTTATGGAACATTAAAAAAATCGTATTATCATTCCAAACTTTTGACTGGTAGTGTACACTTGTATATATATAAATTAATAAATAATAAATAAATAAACAGAAAAAAAACATAGGCCTACTTTAAAGACTCGCTTTCTCGAAACAATAACTGCATATTAATACAAAATAACATGAATAAACATTTATTTTATCTATTTTTTATTTTATTTTATTTATTTAAAAAAAAAATGTTTTGTGCTCAGCGGAACCATATAGTGATACAGTACAAAATCTCATGCAGTTCACATACAGTATATACAGTACAGCACCCTTGTATTTTTTTATGCTGAATTATTATCAGACAGAATTTAAAGACGATTCATCATAAAGATAGGTCTACTTAGACTATTTCATTGCAAGCTGACATAACATGCTTATCAGCTTATCAAGTTTTTACGGACTGGCTTTTTGTTTTTGATGAATCACTGGCAAGTGTGATCATTTCATATTATATTACTGCAGCAGATATGCCTCACAAATTGATTTTTGAATGAATGTTCTTTGTCTCTTTGAGATCCATCTGGAGAACAGCTACTAGTTTCATGACTTTGAACAGCAGAATGGCGGCTGTGGTTATAGTATGAATACACTGTTCTGGTCAGAGTTTTGAGGAAGAAGAGTGTGAAATTCTGACTCATGATCGCCACACTCACACTGAGAGCTGCTGCACACAGGCCTGATGACACACTGCTGTGTTTGGTTACCATAGCAAACATTTTGCAGCAGCTGTTAAGTCATGAAGACCTGTTTTCTTTCTCTAACTTTTCTGATGATTTAACATGAATGGGTGTGTTGTTTAGAGAGAATCAATGGTATAAGTAGATGAATAGTAAATGAATAGTTAGTGAAAAACGAAAATATAAAATAAAAGCTAATTCAAAATATTCAGTTCATGTGATTGTATCAGCCTGAATGGTAGAACTGCATATAAATAGACTAAATGGGTGTCACTAGGCCATTTTTAGAGGGAGTTTTAGCCCCCCAAAATTTATACTGAAAATTGTGTGTGTGTGTGCGCGCGTTTTTGGACATAAATTTGTATAGAGCTAATTCAAAATATTCAGTTCATGTGATTGTATCAGCCTGAATGGTAGAACTGCATATAAATAGACTAAATGGGTGTCACTAGGCCATTTTTAGAGGGAGTTTTAGCCCCCCCAAAATTTATACTGAAAATTGTGTGTGTGTGTGCGCGCGTTTTTGGACATAAATTTGTATAATGACAAAGGGTATGACATAGGTATTACAAGGAGAAGGTGACTTTTCAGGACATTACCCCATGTCCCCACTTTTCAAAACGCTTATAAATCACACAGAATGGAGTGTATTGAAAATCTGAAATAGCACAAAGTTTCCTGTAAGGGGTAGGTTTAGGGGTAGGGTTGGTGTAGGGCAATATAATATATGGTCTGTACAGTATAAAAACCATTACGCCTATGGGATGTCCCCACTTTTCACAAAAACAAACCTGTGTGTGTGTGTGTGAGCAGGAAGATTTGTATTTGGCTTGTTCAGTACTCAAATGTTGTACCCTTCTAATTTATGCAATACAGTGGAATACTGCAATAGGTTTCGTATAACACCCTAACCTATTAGTCAAACATTATTTTATTTTATTTATTTATTATTTTTTATTATTATACCCTCATTGGGGGCTGAGCCCCCCTAAAATGAAAATCCTAGAATCTCCCCTGACTAAATATATATATAAAGATTGCTGTCGCTCTATATGTCAGGATTGGACTGTCTTTGTTGTGTTTTGCGCCCCATGAGCTCCCCTTGACCCAGTTTCTCCCTCATGTGCCCTTATTTGGTCGTTCCTGTTCCTGTCCTCAACGTCTCTTAATTAGTCATTCTGTTCACCTGTGGTCCTCCCAATTCCCTCGTTATCCTGTGTACTTAAGCCCCAGTCTGTTCAGTCTGTGTTTGTCGGGTCTACTTGTTGGATTACATGTTGTGAACGTGTGTCATCTCCCCTTCCTGGTGTGGATTTACCCTGTTTGGATTTAATAAAAGACTGTGTTTGCTATTCTACGTCTCCATCTTTCCTTCCGGCAACGTATCGTGACACTATAGAGATGTTATTTATAGGTTTTTGAAAACTTTTACAGACATTTTGCATCTTTGTAACATCTTTATATGGATAAAGCAAAACTGAGTGGAATTCTTTTCACTGAGTGAAAAGAAAAATAGTACATGCACATTATTTGCCCGTTTAGTAGAAAAATATTGGTATTATAAAAAAGACAGATTGTATTCACACTGAGCAGAGCAATGGGGGTAAAATCCAAAGGGGGACTCAATGCTTGGCATTGATTGTAGTGATGACATCAATGGCCTTAAACGGTATTTGACTCTTATGGAACATATGTTTCCCATGAGGTCAATATTTCAGCACTACTGTGAATGGAGCAATAGCGGTGAAACTAAATCTAATTTTAATTATCTAATCTGATGCTGCAGTAGGTCTGCTAAACTAAATGAGGCTGCGCTCACACTGCACAAATGATGTCTTTACAGCAAACTGGATGATATGAACATCAGAGATCACTCCTTTTATCTAATGTTTAATTATGGCGAGACCAAGTTAGAGCATATTAATTTAGTTTTGAACATTTTGTGCTTGTTGGGCTGCTGATGTTACCTATGAGACGTGAGTGGATTTTCCTGGCATTTCCCTCTCAACTGTGAAATCAATGATGATATCCACGGACAAGTTTCTTGCAAGCCAGATATGGCTTTTGAGGGCCTCACTGAAGAAGAAACATTAGGTCGCAGTTCATTCAAGTTGTTAAACTGCTGTGGGTTCAAGCCTGATAGGACTATTTTGATAGCTTCAAAATACCGCTTGAGAATTAAATTTGATTAAAACAAATGCATTTGCGTAAATAGATTAGATAAGGAAACACTCACCATGCACGTCCTTCATGCAGATGAGTTAGGTGCATCATGGAAACATTTTAAATCACTTTTTCAGGCACATACTTGACATGTTATCATCCATTAGTAGATGCAAAACATGCATTAAAGTGACTTGCTAGGGGGAAAAACATTTTCATAGTACAAGCAACCCCTCTGATAATGTTCCATATGGTCCATGCATTTTTCATGTGAATTTGAGAAACAATGTGACAAAAAAAAAAAATGAAATTCTGCTTTAATTTTGGTTGGGAATGATCTTAGAAATTGTTTTACAAATTATATTATCAAGAATTATGTTTTTATGTGGGCCACTCATTTAAATATCCTTCGGAGAAATTATATATATATATATACATTCTCAATAGCGGCTGAAAACAGCTAAACATCTTTTTCATAAAGTCATCGCCTATTTGTTTACATGACATTGCTTCTTGCACGTTTTGCGAAATATTCAACGTGAAATGTCCAGTAAGTGGCACTAAAAGTTTTATTCAAAACAGATGATTGGGAATCTGGCAACGTTTTTTTTTTTTACGTTGGTTGTTGTAATTATTCTGGCAGTTCGGAACTGAAATGTTCAATAAATGAGGCTAAAAAAGGTTTTCAGTTTGCAATGCTGTACCAAGTGAGATTCTAAGCAAGTTTACTATGTTAGAAAAACCATACATTTGGAGCTGGTTATGTGCTGCAAACACGAAAATGTATTTGTTAAAAATTACCAGCGGCCAAGTGGATTGACTTCCCTTTAAAAGGAGTCATTTTCTGTAACCCAATCGACTTCAGTTAAGCAAAGAATTTGTTTTCATTGAAGTCTTTAAAAACACCTTGATTGTGGAATATGTATTTGCATATGCTAATAAAACCATGCAGCAATAAAGCATCTAAAAAGGTAACTTTACTATCCGCACATAGAATTCTAAGAAAGAAAGAACATTTAAACTGTTTCTGGACTCACTGCTTCACTTATAATATCACAACAACAGGTCAGATAAAGGTTACATACAATTATTAGACAATTTGACAACAACATGCCTCTGTACAGCTCACTAAATTATATGCACAATATCCAAGTCAGCCCAGCACATCTAAAACTGATTTAAAACTGTCTCCCAAGGAATTAAAGGAACTAAAGGTATGTTTAAAAGAAATTACATTATATAATAGATGAAATTCTGCAGTGCACCAAAGGACCTATTAGCAATTAAATTTTTTTTTGATTGAAACATCTTTGGGTTGGAACAAAAAGTTTATTGTAAATGGCAAATGTGCATGTATTATAAAATGATGAACAACAAGTGACCAAAATAACAGATACAGACACTCCCTGTTCTCCTGGAATTATTTCCACTCCTCATTCCATGCATGGAAACTCCCTTTATACAAACAAAGAGATACAAATACAAATTATATTTATTGAAACTTCCTATTTAAATTCACATTTGTACACGTTATAATATCTTAATATTTTACAGCTAAACAGCTGCGGGATATCAAACAAATTCAGAAGAAGTGTTTCCATATGCACTAGTGTTCTCCAGATGCATTACATATCTAGACACTACATTGCCAGCACACATTATGGTGAAGGCAGTCAGCAGGCTTTATTGACTCTAATGACTTCTCCATGCGCTACGAAGACTTGCTCATTACACTAATGTGCTTTATGGTGCACAAACTACATGATATTATGACAACACCAGTGGCCCTATATTTTACAAGCACAAATGAAACACAGGCTCCCACAGCTAAAATCAATTTACATTTAATTAAATAGCCTGTCTTGTGCTTCATAATGAAAAGTGGCACTGTAGTTTTCAAATAGATGCAGCAATGATGCTGTTCTGGTATATGACATTACAAATGGGAACTAATTATAAAAGGAACAAATTGATGTTTTAGTGTCATTGTACCTCATTTGAGCCTTACTGATGGGCTTGTGGGGCTCTAAGACAAAAAAATGTTGGGAAACACTGACCTAGATTTCTCCACATTGTGGTTCTACAGACGGTTTTACCATGCCATACTTGGAGCCATCAGAGGAAATCTGGCCTGTGGAGCGACATAATTACTCATGCCAGCAGGCTGGAGTTTCACCTGGAGACAGAACATATGTGATGTCTCCAGATGCCAGCATTTAGCAGATACCAATATATACTGCAAGTTCCCTACAGATTCTACCACTGACCATGAATGGAAGCCAAAATCTGAGTAAGTACATTTTTATGTAGTTTGACAGTGAAATGTAGTTTGTGCTGAAATTTAGAACCAACTGAAACCATGTGTAGGTAAAAAATCACCTTGAAACAAGTATTGTTAAGAAAACTTTTTAGGCGATTTGGCTGTTCATTAACACCACAACAGTATCTTGGAGGCTTAGAAACACAAACTTTTGAAAACAGATCTCAATATGCAAGTTTTTGAAAATGATACCGCTATTGCCTGTGTAAACAACATAAACGTGAATTTGTGAAAAAGGTGACGTCATGTGTATGCAGAGGTGTAGTGCAGGGTATACACAGGTATATGGCATATACCCACTTCTATATCAGTGGGTATACCCACTTCTAAATCCCCTGATGCACTTCATTCAGTAGTGTCCTGAATTTGCCAAATCATGACAGTCCAGCACATGAGTAGCTAATCCAATCACATGTGAATAAATGCAAATATTCCCTAAAAACACTCAGTAAAGACAGTGGTCAGGACCAAGGCGTAAACACTCTCATGCAGTGCATGTTTCATTCATATTCGTAATATAGATTTTTTTTTTATTAGAAGTAATAACTTATGACGTGCAGGAAATCCCTAATATGGATATGCATCCAGCTATCGCTGTAGCCAAAACAATATCTGCTGTAGCTAAGCTGAATAAAAATAAACTTTTGGACCAATGAAACATGAAGACAACAAACACATGATTGCAACAATATATGGTTTATGTGCGTTCTTCAAGTCATCTCCATATCACTGAAAAAAATGATTAATTGAATTTACTAAATTTTTTTAAGGTAAGTGGTTGCAATCAATTTATTTTAGATACATTTAAACAAACACATTTAATTGATTAACTTTCAAAATGTTTTTATTTTTTAAATGTAGCTAAAATAAATTTTGCTACAAATTTTACACAGTTTGCAACCACTTACCTTAAAAAAATTTTGTATCGTTTTTTTCAGTATACACGGGTGGCAATGCTTTTTCTTAGGGTGGCAGTTGCCACCCTGTGCCACCTCGGTAGATCTGCCCCTGGGTACAAGTATACAGCCCTGCTTTTCAGTCTTCCTAGGAAAGGAACAGTTCAAACATAACATACAAAGAAAACAGGCTAATAACGTCAGGGTCCAGCCTTGTACTCTGAAACAGTCATGATAATACCTCTGCCAAAAAGCAACAGCACCCATGGGAAACTTTGTGATTATAAAGATACCACACTGGCATTTAAAGGCTTAGCAGATTTCGACTGAGAAAATGTCAGGCGACTTTCTTTTATCAGTTTTGTTCTCCTAGCTATTAATAGAGTTTCAGTATCTTTTCTGTGTTTAAACCACACACACACTGAGACCTCTTCCATCTATTTTTACGCCGGTATCAATAGAGAAGCCAACCTGTGCTTTTAAACTTCAGTGGCACTGCAGCGACAGGGTTTCAAAGAGCCTTCCACATGGAGTGATGGGTTGTGATATCCTGCACGGGTAAATCACTACACTGTTTTGCAGTCTAATGCAGAAAGAATGACGTTAAACATTCACAATCTCTATGGCGTCAGTAGTTTTGTAGGTGTTATGTAGTAAGTATTCAGGGGTTCAATAAACTGGAACAAATTGCTCTCTAACTGCTTTCCTGGAAGGTCCTGCCATGCATACCGAATTGTTGACTCTGAAGCGAATCTGCACCTTTACTTCTGGGAAAAACAATAAAGCCACACACTGGTGCAAGCAAGCAAAACAAGCTTAAAGGGGTCCTATTATGCTTTTTCACCTTTAGTTAGTCTGTAATGTTGCTGTTTGAGCATAAAAAAGATCTGCAAAGTAACAAAGCTCAAAGTCCACTTCAAAAGGAGATATCTATTTAACAGAAATCACTTTTCAAAAACTACAACGAACGACTCGTTTGGACTACAACGCATATTTGCTGTTCATGCCAGACTTGGGGGAGGTGTTGTAATAATGCAAAATATGTGAAAAATAATGGGTTTTTCGAACAACCTAGTATGAGAGCCTGTTCTAGTACACCCCCAAAACAAAATCAAGACTTTGTAAAAGAGCATAATAGGACCCCTTTAAATGTGATGGGAAATTGATTCCCTCAGCAAGTCAGCAAAAGTAAACAAAACAAAACTGAAAGTTGTTGAAGAAGTTACAAGCAATCTTCTACAGGTGCAGTTCTATGCCACAAAATGGGCTGAACAAGTTTAGCCATTGCATAATTTGAAATAAAGCTATTTAGAACTCGCCATCTCCAAGTCAAAGAGGGAAACACAGAGTACAAACATTTGTAACTCAAGCTGATGTATGGCAAAGGCAGATCTAAAGAGAGGCATGTCATGTCATAGTGCCACATATTTCCATAATCCTCTCAATCTCCTATTTCTATGAAATCTGCAACTTAAGTT